AGTTGCTCAAAGTTACCAGGCTTTTTTGATATGACATCTTTTAAAATAATGTCAGAGTGCATTTGTGTTATTGAATTTATGTTAAGACATCTAGAATGCATGCTTGTTTCATATTTTAGATCATATTAGCAAAAACCAATAGGATTAGGGTTGGGAGGAAAGCATGAGAAAGAGCCACACTAATTCAATTCAATGCTGTGATATATTCCAGAACATCCCTACCTGCAGCTTTGTGCATTTTCCACCAGCCTGCATCCTAGCAGCAAATGTGCTGTAATAAGATTTGGCAAAGAAAGCACTGCAGTGCTTCTCTCCTTAGAGAGATTGCTGGGGGAAGTTGAATTGCCACGTCTGTTCAACACAATGCCTCAAAACTTCTTGTTGCTGTGTGAAAGATAAAGTCATTGAGAGGGTTGTGAAATATAACTGAGATATTTATCATATTGCAGTTTAATGTTGGTCTAGGAAGTTTGATGTGAAACACACCCAGGAAATCTGAAGGTGCTGAATGATGAATACATTTTATAAATGTTTTAAAATGACTGCGTGTGTGTGTGTGTGTATGTGTAATGCAACATAATAAGCAAGATACTTCTAGACACTAAGTGAACAGCTTGAAGCTAAATAGTATTTGATCTGTCTTTAATTCCTGCAACTTAATGTGATAGCTGACATTAATGGACTCGTAATAAGTATTCATTTGATAGTAATGTGTTATATTTCTGGGGAAGTTGTAGATATTTCCATACTTCGTTAAACAGTAGGATTTGACATGTATTTGTGATAGCTTCATAATAACATCCTAGAAAAACACTGGTATGCCTGGCCAGATTTATGGAATCAAACCTAAGATAAAAAATAAAGAATAAATATCATTTACCAGATTTTGTTGGCTGTTCATGCATGTCCTCGCAAAAATCCAACTGGAGTGATGCATTTTTATCTAGATTTCTATATTCATTTGAAAGTTCCCATTAACAAGTGCATGCTCACACTCATTAGAAGACTTCTGGGTATAACATGCTAATTACTTTCCTGCACGCTGGCTCCCAAACCACAATGAATGCTCTTGTAAAAGCAAATCACAGCAAACTTCAAACAGTGTGCAACCTCGAGATGCTGTTATTAAAGGAAACACACTGATGGGAAATCTTTGATGCTATCAGATGTGATGGAAACTACATATTTGTATTTTAGTAAATCCTGTCAACTGAAGCATTTCCCCCACCGTTAAATAACCTGAAACCAATTTCAAGTTCCCAAATGTTCTTCAAAGCAGAAAGCCTTGGACGTAATGCTGATGGCATTTCAAATTTCAAGGAAACTTGCTTTTTCCATCTGAAGACTTCAAGAAGATTTGAAATTGTACTTTCAAAGAGAATAGATATTACCTACTTTTACACAAACCACTAGGCTCTGGTTTGATGAGCCAAATGTCACAGGTATTGAACTTACCCTTGGTAATGAAATGATGATGTGTAACCATGTGGCTCAGAGTCTGAATAAGGCAGCTTAATGCAGGAAGCTCTGAGCTGGAAGTGTTAGATATTTCACGCTTTGGTTCTTTCTTGTTCTTGCATTGCTGACCTCACTTGGAAGGTAAACTTTGGATCATGTGATATGTGGTCTGTGCATAACCTACCTCTTGCTGAATGGGGCATCTGTGAAGCTGAAGACAAATCAGTGTGTGCTTGACTCCAGCATGCTAGGGAGTCTGGGACGCACACATCAGAACATTCATCCTATGAATAGGCTCTGTAGCAGGAGGGTTAGTCTGTGGCTTTTTAAAAGGCTTCAGATTTGTGGTCAAGAGAAACATCTATGAGCCTATTTGGGCGAACGGATATAGTAGAGTCACTGAAGTTCCACCAGCATTTAACTCGGTTTCCTGCAATCACTTTAAGTAAAAAGAGTGAAACCTGAGGCTATCATCTTGGGACACGAAATATTTGTATGTGGTTTTAATATCCTGAGCTCATTTGTTACTGCTCTGCATTTTAGAAAGAGCCATTATAGTCTGAAACACACATTGCAGGTATATCAGCCCTTGAGTGACTGTAAATTTATCACAGCAAACCTTAAGGCAAGAGATTTGTTTCCAGTAACTGAGCTCTGCACGAGGAACACATGGAAAATCAAGGCTAAGGCAATCAGTGGCAGAGAACAGGGGCAGGGAGAGAAGGGGCAAGTGAGGGAGTGGGGGGAAGACACGGTAGCCCATCTGCCTGCAGATTTCTCAACACTGCAACAATGAGAAAATTATTGTAATAAGGGAGGGAAATGAGAGGGCTGAGCAGGGATGAGGAAAAGGGGCAGTAAGTAGTGTTATCTGTTTATGGCTTGGGATGTGAAATTCGCTGTATTAGTTGGATGTTGGCTGAAACAATATGTCTATCTTCTTTACGTACATGGAGTGATGCTTAGGATATACTGGTTACTTGAAAAAAAAAGGATTACTATATAGACCATAACAGTGTTGCTAATTTTTATAACTTTATATTAATTTAAATCTACTTAATAATATGTTGACAATGCCTTGGGGTTACAAAATTCACTTTTCTGGACTTCAATCCAGTTTGGGGAAACTTTAGTGGACCTTTGGGTCCAGTAGTTCCTATGAGGCAAGTCCATCGACTCATGACAGGAAATCTGTTTACTCCAATAGTGGTATAGCATCCATTTCCACTGGATGATTATTAATTTCTCTGTGTTCTCTTAGCCATTAGAATATATCCTAGGTTTCACAGAAGGTTCTGGAAATTTCTTCTTATAGGATTCCTAGAAGACCCACCATATCTAATCACATGTGATTAAACATCTTTAAACTTTCTAACTTTTCAAAAATGTGCTAAATACTAGAAGATATTATGTGCAAGGGTACATCTGAAAGCACACATAAAGGAAATTTCAAAAATTTGTGGAAAATGGAATTAAAATGTAAGTTTATTTCAGTGTAAAAATTTGAAGTCCATACATAGTTTCCTAACACCTAGGGAATGACATTCATGCCAAATCACTTCATATGTATATGCATACACACATTATCTCTATGTCTTCCATGTCTTATACTTACCACATATGTATGTGAATCTCATCTGATTTTTTCTTGTAATTGCTTAAAACTTCTTAATGAAATCCTGGCTATCAGGAAGAAATGTATGGCTTATATTTTATATTCAACAGTGATTCTCAAAGTTGTCCTGTATTAGGATTATTTGGAGGTGGGGATTATTGAAACATGGATTACTGGTCCCCACTTTCGAAGTTGTTTCCTCAGTGGATTAGAGGCTGTGAGTTGGATTTTCCACAGTTCCCAAGTGAGGCTGCTGGTGGTGTTCCTTCTGGGAATCCTCCTTTGAGAACCACCATGCTACAAAAGTGACAAACTGGTCCCTTTCTTGTGTGTAGCTTCATTTCATGACACTATTTCCTGTCTCTGATGCTGTATTGTCTTCTCCCATGTCCTCAACCTCCAGTTCTCTTCTTTCCATTCTCATCATCAAATTTAACAAAGTTAACTCATATTGAATTTTTTACATTAGATTTGGTTATTCACTCTCAAATCTATACTTCTCCTTTGCAACATTAAATATACTTATAGCTAAAGAATAAACCCAGGAAATCAACAAAAAATGACCTAAGCCCTGCCGCCCACAAGGGAGACAGCGATGAAGTTCTTGCCCCTTGGTTTCAGCTAGTCTGGACCTTACATTACTGAAGTGCAACAACAAATGGAAGATTCTCTCTCTCTCTCTCTCTCTCTCTCTCTCTCATCCCCACTCTCACTCCCATCTCTCTGTGTCTCTGTGCATTGCTCCACCTTTCATATAAATATTTAGAAAATAGTATACCTCCTTGTTGAGATGATCCTCCGTTCGCAGTATAAGTTCATTGGGGATATGACTACCTTATTTGTCCGAGTCTCACAGGTGTGCTGCTCAGTTTCTGTTACATAATAGACACTTAACAAATATTTTCAGTGAATGAATAGAAATAGATATTGCAAAGCAACACATTTCATCTCTCCTCTAGTGCCCACTCTTGTCTCAGAACAAATTCTCCACTCTGGGAGAGTTGTGTTAGTTCTCCCTGCGTGAACGAGTGTGGAAATGGGTGTTTTCAGTCTGCAGATCTGTCGTTCCCTATGTGTCTTATTCAGATAATTCCTCTTGTTCAATGCACAGAGACACAGTGCAAAGTGAATCTCTGAAACAGCCTTAAACGTCAAGCACCGCTCACAAGATGATCCACGTGCATACCTCAGTTTCCACTATCTAGGATTATGTAATTCTGTGAAATAAAGCCCGATTATTTGTGCATTTTAGCCAGAGGCACTTCAACAAGATTTCAGTAACAGTGCAATTACATAGTGACATTTGAACTTTCAGTTTACTATGCCAGAAAATTTCATTTTTATTATTTTTGTTTTTGGGGGAGGGGGAGAATAAGGAACCAGAGGGTGTGGACTGATGCTAGCTAGGATTCGTTCAAGTAAAATGATAGGTCATCATAACTGAAATGCCACTGTCACAGTAATTTAGTTGCACTCCAATTGTAGCTTTAGGTTATTCTCTGTTTCATGTGAAAAGCTGGCAAGATTTAGTGATTGCAAAGTTGTGTATCATATATGGATCTGATAAGCATAACCTATGCTATTAAAGTAGCAGCCTTACAATATGAGAAATCCAAGTTTAAGTTTGACTATGAGAAGTAGATAACTTCATGGAAAGTAAATCTTAGTGATCTCTATGAGGCAAAGCCTTATTCTGTGCAATCACACATCTACTCCTCTTTTATCATTGGATGATTTCAGAAGATTGAAATATCAAATAAGAGAATGGAAAAGTTGCAGAGCAAACAAGTGGAGCAAAGATAGGGAGACAGTATCTTGGGTGTTGATCTATGGCATGAAAGAGAATCACTGGTGGAGAAATACAGTGTGAAGTGTTATGTTGCTTTTACATGTCTTCTCTTGACACAAATCTTCCTTCTACCACCAGGTCTCATTGTCCGGGAGGTGAGCATTGAGATTTCACGGCAGCAAGTGGAAGAACTCTTTGGGCCTGAGGATTACTGGTGCCAGTGTGTGGCCTGGAGCTCAGCAGGCACCACAAAGAGTCGGAAGGCCTATGTGCGCATCGCATGTGAGTCTCTGCATGGTTTTCAGAAGCAAATGCAGTTATAATAATTCCTAGATTCTGATCCTGACATACAGAACCCTGGCCAAAGATTCTGACCCAGAACTGTTCTAAGATTGCTATACTTGAAATTTTCTGCATATCCCATTGACAACACCAAGATCTTTTGATTTTTATTACATGACATTTCTTTAGGGATTGCAAAGTATGCCTTTCAAAAGTATCTTAGATGTCTCTAATCTGCCGGTAATTAGGCTGTGGAAAAACCAAGGACATTCTTTGGTAGCCTTTTGAGGATTGGTAACAGGATATTAGGTTTGGAAAATCTAAGGATGTTCAACCCTTCTTATAAAATGGTGCAGTATTTGCATATAACTTCTGCACATCCTCCCCATTCCTGAAGTCATCCCTGCATTACTTATTATATTACTATAAAGATAAAGGATTTGTAAGTGATGTTATATTTATTAAGGTAATAATGACAACAAAGAGCCTGTGTATATCCATTATTGATTTGTTTTTCCCCAAAATATTTTCAGTTGAGGGTTAATTGAACATGTGGATGAACTCAGATACAGAGGAAAGTCCACTGTGTCTTCCTTTAATGAGTTTGTTCTGCCGATTGATTGAAACAGTGTTGAATAGTTTTCCTATAGGGGAGAGAGAAAACCCAAATGAAGTGTCTAGTCATTGTTTGTTATTATTTTCAAATTCTATTGATTTCTATGATATTCTTATTTGGACATTGAAATATGTCTTCAAGAGTTCTGTGAGTGTGTGAACATGGGAAATACACAGACAAAATGGTACAAATTTTCAGACTGATTAAGGTGCTACAAAGTTTCAACAGTTTCTGCAACTGAATGATGTCCTTTAGGAGAGAAACCACCAAAATGCAACATGTTCTATTTACTGAATCTCATTACAGCCCTGCATTTTGTTCAATTCCATTTCACACTAGATGTCACATCAGTTAGGTCTACTGTGTCTCTCAGTCCCCCATGAGCCTGGCTTGATACTTCCCCCAAATTTATGCTAGCTCTTTCCTTCCTCTCCTCTTGATCTAAATTGAACCATGACTAAGAGGCCATCTAAAATTTCCTGAAAACATAGGACCATATGATAAAGTTGAGTTCAAGAAATTTTGAAAGCCGTGCATAGTGTTTTCAAAATACACATTTCCCATGGGCTCTGTGAAGGTCCTTCAAGCTTCTCAGATAGTCTCTGTGGCTCACATCACTGTCCAGCTCATCCTCCTTCCACAATTGAACACTTCCTAAAATTTAGGCCTTGTCGCTTTGACTTATGAGATCAGCGCATTTACTATGCTGACATTGACTACTGTGTTAGTTTGGTACAACTGTCCATAACAAATTAGCAAAAAATGGGCAGTTACACAACACAAATCCACTTTGTCGCAGCAGGATCTTGCTCGAGATCAGTGTGAGAAGCTTTTCTGCAGCTCTCAGCTTGTTAGTCACCACGTTCTCACAGCATCCGTACACATTGTCTCCGTGTGTGCATCTGCATTTCTCTGTGTGTGCATTGATATTTCCTCATCTGAAAAACACACTACTTGGATTTGACTAGGGCCCGGTGTAACAGCCTCCTGCTAACGTAACTGACCCTTGAAGGCCTTATTTTTCAATCCACTCTCATTCTGGAGTAAACAGAGAGGGTTAGCACTTCCATGCAAGAATTTTAAAAAGGAAACGTAGTTCAACCCATGGCAACCACGTTTCATGGTTCATGTATTCAACCTGTGTTTCTACGTCTGTCCTGTAAGGATTTTTTTGTATATTAGTCTCATTGGATTTGAAATACTATGGTCTATACGTGTTTCAGCTATTGTTCATGTAGAGCGTTTCCTTAGGACAAATGTGCGGTGACAGCTTCCTCTGTTCTAGCACCGTACTGCATACTGGTGACGGGGCTGAAAACAGTGCCCATGACCCTCCTTGTCCTTTTGAACCTTGCGATTTATAGAGAACAGACAAGGAGAGAATGGGAGCAGAAGGGGTGAGGACTCTGTAGGTGTTGCCATTTTGGGTTCCATAGCATGAGATGGGAGCATGTAGGACTCTTTTCAGCAGAGGAGCCTGTAATCTGACTTGCATCTGCAGAATCATCTGACTGCAGTGTGGAGACTTGACCATGAGGATCAAGGGAAAAGGTTGGAAGACCACTTATCCAACTACAGCCATGACAGAGCATATGGTCAGCATAGAATGGAAGTATTGCACATGATGAGACCAGGATTCTGGTTATATTTAACAATAGAAGTGAAAGTGCTTGTTGAGAGATTGAGAGAAAGGTAGAAAAGATATCTGAAAGGCTTGATGGCCTTTTTCAAGAGAACCGAGACAAGCAATCCCAGTCTTATGGAGGAAGACAAGGGTGTTTTAGTTACTTTTATAATACTTTGTCAAAATTCTTATTATAGGATTTACCTCATTGAATATTCACTTGCTTGAAATGTGTGTCATGCCACTGAGTTCCTTGAAATCAAGTATTTTCTTGCCAACCACACATTTTTAGTGCATAGCAAAACATCTAGAATATCGTATATGTTAATAATTTTAAAACTAAAATACTATAACAAATACTCCATTGTGGTTAAATACCCCATGGTGATTCTTTAAATGTTTAACACTTATATTCTCTGTCTGATTATATCTAAGGAGAGTTACTGTTTGTCTTGATGGGGTTGTCCATGAAACAGACTTAGGAAATGGAGGTGTATAGGCAGGAAAGGTGTTAAACAGTATTCTTTAGAAACAACATCTGTGGAAGAAGAAAGCTGTGGCATAGGGCAGAGAGATAAATTGGATAATGAGGCAAACACGATAAATGGTAACCTTTTAGGAATAGCTGGAGCAAGGCTGGCCCCATACAGTTGTCCAAACTTGATGCAAAGGAGATAAATAGGCCCTTTCTTGTTCCTCCCATAAATCAGTTAGTGGGTGCATTTCATCCTTTACTCCCAACCCCACCAGTGTGTATGGCTTGGGCTGTCAGCTCTCCCACCTGAGGAAATTCCACTGAAGAGAAGGTCCTGGAGGCTCATGCAGCAGCACCAGCCATGGTGAACCTCCAGCCTCCAAAGGGATCTTGGTGAAATACCTCCACCCTCACTAGAATCTTCCACCATGAATGTCAAGGAACTGTTTTTATTACTATAAAGAAAGATAACCTCTAAGACGTAAGCAAACTCACAATCAGCTTTGAATTGTAATAGAGGTACTAACAATAAGTAATGCCTTTATCTTTCATTTCTACAGATTCTTTAATATCAAACAGTATAGATATTTTAAATTGCCAATCTACACTTCAAATAAATTGGCTTGCCTAAGTTTAAAGGCTGCATAGGCCCTGATTATGCATATACAGTTTGTTATATTAGAAGATATTACAACAAATTCATATGTATGGTATATAAGTTGTAAGCACACTTAAGAATGTTCATGAGAAAATGCATATTACAAAAGCATGTGGGTTTTGAAATTGTATCACAATAAACTTACCTTTTAACTACATTTCCTGTGAATTTCATGAGGTTCCCTTGTAACAGATGTGTATGCATATACGTATGATATGTTTCTTATAAAACTAAATACATGTAAAGATAAAATTCCAATTTGTCTTTGCCACATATTCTGTGCACTTTGCTATTTACTTCATGACTTACAAATGTAATGTGGCATTGTCAAATTGTGCTTAAGAAAACATATTATTCCTCTAACAAAAGATCAATTTATCCACAGCACCTTTTTGCCCTCAAGTCATAAGACTAAATGCTAATTTTACCTTCAATTCCATAATTAACTAAACTCATATGCATGCTGTCAAGGAACACCATCTATCATGTGGAGATGTATTTATGTAGATATTTTTGGTGATGAAAAACAAAGAAGGTCAAATGTCCAGATCTTTTGCCAATGAATGACACTGAGTAAGTGAGTTTTTCCCAGGGCTGCAGAAGGCTTGCAATTTCTGCAGGCCTCCCTGGGTCAAGTGAGCTGTGGTGCTTTGTGCAGTAATACTTGACAGATGGTCAGCAAATAAAGTGTAATTAAACTCTAAATTTGTCACAGGTGAGGATAATCACAACACTAAGGTTAAATAAGTGCAATTACCTTTCACTGAATTAGATTTATGCTTATTGAGTGTACTGTGGAGTTGTCCATGGTTCCTCCATGAAAAAGTTCTCTATATGATTATCAAGGAGAAATTAATATAGAGTACTGCTTTAATTAATTATTTCACTTACTTTAGATAAAGTATGAAAATCAGTTCATAGTCAAACAGAGTAGAGCGAGAAAAAAATAGAAATATGAAAGTTAACAGACAAAAGCTAAGAACATAATACAAATGTTGAACTAAGTGTCAGTTTTTCAGGTGGCTCATGTAGCTTATGTTGCAGAGAAATTTACTCACAGCAAACTCGGGTTGATGCTACCATGAGCTGTCCTAAAGAGAACCCTCATGGAATACAGCTACCAGCGTTTGGGGTTGTTTTTCCAAGAGTCTCTTATTATAGTGTATAGAGAAATATTGAATAAAATGTCTAGGAAGCCATTATATTAGAAAAGAATTATTTAGTTTGCGGCCACTCCCTGCCACACGCCTCCTAAAACCCTTGGTATCGCTAAAGTAATGGTTTTTGTAATCTGTGAGCTGCTTTCATGTCAATAACTGGAAAAGTCAACACAAGAATGGAGGGTGAGGAGAGGAGTGAAGGTTAAGTTGCTTGCCAGTAGACAATCACTGAACCATCATGTCTGTGTTGTTGAGCCTCCAGGCCTCCATAAACGCCTGAAAGGAGAGGGTTCAACAACCCCGGGCTGGCTAAATACAGGTTGCTGGATGGTGGCAAGTCCTTGTGCTACACTTGCCCAACACATCCCTTTACAGGTGTATTTTGTAGAAGAAACTAGAAAATGATGGGGTTTCCTCCCCAGGTTCTGTGGACCGCTCTTGAAACCAACCAACCAGAGAGGGGTCAT